AAGAAAGAAAGAAAAGAAAGAAATATCCTATCTCTAAAGAACTTACAAAGTTGTTAGTAACATTAGGATATATACCCTTAAAACTATAAAAATACATAGTAGTGACTCCCTGTACTGTGTGCCATAATGTTCTTGTATTTAGTATTTATGGTTCTATCTATTCCCAAGTGACCTTCAGACTCCATGACTTTTAGTTATTGGCAATTTCTAAGGCACAAGATTGAATTAACTACATTGAGAGACAGCTAATTGAAAGAATAGGTGGGGCGGGGCGATGTGGCTCATGCCTATAATCCTAGCACTTTGGGAGGCCAAGGAAAGTGGATCACATGAGCTCAGGAGTTCAAGATCAGCCTGAGCAAGAATGAGACCTTATCTCTAAATAGAAAAAATTAGCCAGGGATGGTAGTGGGTGCTTGTAGTCCCAGCTACATGGGAGGATGAAGCAGGAGGATGGCTTAAACCCAGGAGTTTGAGGTTCCTGTGAGTGAGCTAGGCTGACACCATGGCACTCCATCCTGGGGCAAGAGAGTGAGTCTCAAAAACCAAACCAAAACAAACAAAACAAAAATCCCATAAAAATGACAACCCCCCCCCCAAAAAAAACCTGAAAAGGATAAGTGGAAATCTAGGAAGGAATTAAGGGAAGAGGAGGGACATTCTAGGAAGGCAGAAGTGGTGTGAGCACAGACATGTCCAGGACCACTTATTGGATTGACCAGACCAGAAAGGCTGGAGCAAAGGATCTGAAGTGGGAGCAGTGGGAGGTGAGTTTGGAACAATAGCTAGAAACTGCCATTTCAGGGTCTTGAATGATGTTGAATGACCCTAAAGCCCAGGCTGGAATGCCATGGCATCAGTCTAGCTCACAGCAACCTTGAATTCCTGGGCTCAAGTGATACTCTCCCTCAGCCTCCCAAGCAGCTTGGACTATAAGTGTCTGACACAACACCTAGCTATTTTTTTCTATTTTTAGTAGAGACAGGATCTCCCTCTTAGACTGGAACTTGGTCTGGAACTCCTGAGCTCAAGGGCTCCTCCCACCTCTGCCTCCCAGATGAAATCAATGTTTTAAGAAAACTGATGTGACACCAACATGTAGGAGGGCAGAGTGAAAACAACAGAAGAGACAGCAGGCGTTAGCAAAAGCTCAAGTATGAGATGACAAAGTCTGGTAGAAGGATGGCTATGAAAGAATGGCTGCCCAGTGACTGGAGTGCCACCTCTGAGGTACGAACCACGCACTGTCATTTCTCCAAGAACTGTACAGGGCTAAACGCAGAATAAATACTCTATTTGCATTTGTGGTTTGCTATCAGAAAAGAAAACCAACATGATTTGGTGACCGATCCAGTGTGGACACAGTTCAAAGAAAGAGTCATTCATTTATTCACTCAAATCAAAAAAGAATTTTTGCAGACTTAATTGGTTCAAGGCTGTGGGCTGGCCACAGAATAGGATGTTAATGATGAATGTGATACAACTGCTGCCTCAAGAGGTTGACAATCCATTAACTAGACAGCAACACTGTCTGTCACAGGAGACAGCACTGCACTTGAGGGGCTGTGAGAGAAAACCAAGGGGACTTCCAAAAACAGCACCTCTAGCCTTGAGAACAACAGCCGGGCTTTGTGCAGGAAGCAGGGGGAGACTAATGGATCAGAGAAAGACACAGCAGGAGAATTGGAAAGAGGAACCATCGATCTTACAGTGTTCACCAGTGTTGCTCACGTTATGTCATTAAATGGGGAAAAGACATGCACACTTTACATCTTATGCAACAGTGTGAGCTCAGTTTTATTAAAAATTACACAAATGTCAAGCAAGATACACAACGAAAGTTAATTCTGGTTTGCAGTACTTAGGTTAACTTTTACTTTCTCCCACATACCTTTTTATATTGCGTGCACTTGTTTTTCAAAGCACTTACATTACTTTATAAACAGAAAGAAAAGCAAACCGGTTTGCATCCATGTTTAAAGGAGGAGGGAGCCAATAGCACCAGTGCTGCAGGCAGTTCAGTTAGATAGATAATGACTTCAGGGGAAAGTGTAAAAGGAATGACTGGGAGGTTGAGGTGCCCTTCAAGATTGGTTTCAGTTCAATGATGGGAATGGGTGGGGTCCATGCGAACCCTTGGGATGTTAAGATTTTGCAAAGCAGCTCGGCGCCTATAGCTCAACCGGCTAAGGCGCAAGTGATGCCATGGCACTCTACCCAGGGGGATAGCTTGAGGCTCTGTCTCAAAAAAAAAAAAAAAAGATTTTGCAAAGCATCCAAGAGCATTTAGTAATGTTGGCCACTGCCTTCTTCTCAAGAGCAATTAGTCTCCTTTTCCTAAAAAGCAAATGCTCTTCGACTTATGATGAGGTTGCATCCCAATAAACCCATCATTGACTGAAAATATGAGTTGAAAGTGCATTTAATGCATCTACCTACCAAACATAGGCTAGCCTGCCCTACCTTAAAAATGCTCAGAACATTTACGTTAGCCAGTTGGGCAACATCATCTCATACAAAGCCTATTTTATAATAAAGTGTTGAATAGCTCAAGTAATTTACTGTACTGAAAGTGAAGGACAAT